AAAAATTTGATTTTTATGATTTAACAATTGAAAATATTCTAAATTCTTATATTGGTAAGTAAAAATTAATTTTTTTGGATCTTAAAATATTTTTTTTTTTCATACTTAATTTTTAATGGTGTAGAAAATTTAAACAAATTACACGAGACTAGTTTCTCAAAAAATAGAAGATTTCTATCATCTTATTCAGAGTCTAATATTTTTGTTAAATATTTATGACTTTGAAAATGAGAATAATTGAAATAGTTATTTTTAAAAAAATCAGAGATTATAAAAATACTTTTTTTATAGAATCCTATTCCATAATTATTATTAAAGATGAAAAATTTCTATAGTAAATAAGATATTGATGAGTTTTCTACGACTTTTTTTTGTAGAAAGTAATATATTATTCAGATTAACTAGAGTCATTTTCATAGAATAAATAAGATAGCAACATGGATACTCATATTATTACAGCTTAATAGGAAGATTATTAAAAAAAATTATGAACATTTTAATGAGAATAGATATTTTCATATCTTCAAATTGTAAAATGATAGAACAAAATTTTACAAAAAGACTTTTACAATCTGTTATTTGTTTGAAAACTATTTCAGTTATACTCATCGAAAATGATGAATATCTAGAATAAACATGAATGCATAAAAATGTAGTGTTTTACACTCTTTTATCTATTTCATTTGAAAAATAGATCTTGCTAATTATATTTTAAATTCGACTTTTATGATATTTTAATTTGTCTATTTTCTCCTACCAGATATAGACTTAAGATGTTTGTCTCTCAGAAAATACTTTTAAGAACATTAACTTAACCCATTTGTGTTCAATAATCGTTTAAACGATTATTACTTTAGAGATCTACAGTCACTCAACAGTAACTTTCATAAATGATTTTGATCCGACACTGTATAAAGCATATCATTATCCTGTCCTATGATTCTAACCTATTTTTTAGAAAAATTACTAAAGAAATTTAGTAATTTATTTTAGTGAATACTTTATTTTCATGTGAAAAGTGTACTAGCAGGTGGAAGTTCATGAAACGATGTTCCAAACGGGTGTAAACCGATGACTAAATAGAAACGTGTTGAATCGATGATTGAAACGTTATTCGTATATCGTTTAAACGGCTAAAACACGCGTTTCTATTAGATCGTCATTTACAGCACGATGTGATGTGCCCGAAATATACTGGCAAAATGTACATACCTGCAGAAAGACTTTTATACATCTAGAAAAAAACACACCAGTTTTATTCGTATTTGTTCACTTAGAACTTTTACACATCTACGGGCATTTTTTACAGTGTAGACTAGAAGAAAAATCAAAGATACAAAAATATCTTTCACTTTTATTCATCAGTTTACTTCACTGTTCATGTTTTAATTCTTCTTCTAATTCATATTCTCTTGTTTAAGATCACTGTGAACAAAAATTTGGTGCAAAAATCTGTTCATTTATATTCAATTATATTAGTTCATCACAAATGGCTATTGCTGAAGTCGAATTATTAGATATATTGAGTTGTAATAATGAATTTTTTCTTGAATTATATTCAAAAGATTTTTTACCAAAACATTTGAGATTTCCACCATCACTCTGGTTAGCTGTCAAAAATGAAATCGGTATGTTATTTCATTTGTCTCTATTTTGTTTTGTTTTTCTCATATATTGTATAAAAAAAAAAAAAATGTTATTTTTGTTTGATTTTTCTATAGAACCACTATTATCCGAACGATATGTCGATAAAAAATTATTAATATGTTGGAGTCATACATTTATTCGACGACAAATGAAACAACGTTATTTAAAAAAAGTTGAAAATATTCGAATATCTCATCGTGATATAGCCAATTATTTTTTAGAAGCATTTGTCGAGTCCAAACCATTAATTGATATGAATAGAAATTTTCAAATACGGTATTTCATAATTTAGAGATTCTTTTTTTATTTTTCAATTTTAAATTTTATATCGTCTCTTTTTGATTTATCTATTAGAGAAGATGAAGGTCGTCGATTTATTTCCCAACAACCATTACTCTACTCAGAAACATTATATAATTATAGAAGACTTAGTGAATTATGGTATCAACTTATGCATTCAGGTTAATAATATTTATTTTAATATTAAATATTTAGTATACTTAATAATATATTCTTTCTAGGTGATATTGATCGATTAAAAGAGTATACAATATGTTGTTTTGAATATTTATTAGCAAAAATTCATGGTTTATCTATTGAACAATTATTAAGTGAATTAGAAATTATTTTTAGTAATATATTAGATGCTGATGTACTATTAATACATTCAATATTAAAAAATATTCAAGAAATTGTTACACATGATCCTATATTATTAGCTGGTGAATTAATTAATCGACTTAAAAATATTAAAGGTAAAAGAAAAGATTACATGAAAATTAAAATAAAATAAAAATAAATAAATAAATTTAATATAAAAATTTTTAGCCGATTACAGTGAACATATTGAAAATTTATATGCTCAAGCACATGATTGGTGTAAATTGTATGGTGCTCCCGTATTTGTTCCACTCTCATCATGGTTAAACAGTATTCCTCCATTAATAATTAGCATATTACATTGTCAAGATGGCGTAAATAAAATTGCACCAACAACTTATAATCAACATCTTTTTTGTACAACAAAAAATCATGAAATTTGGATGTATCATATACCGTCAAAAAAATTGGTTAAAAAATTTTCTGGTATATTAGATTTATACATCTTATTTTTTATCTCATTAATATAAAAATAAAATAAAATATATCTAATAATTAGTCTGTTAACTCATTTCTATTTTTGTTTTTAGGTCATACAGCTTTTATTAATGTCATCAAATTAACTTATAATAGTAAATTTTTGATTAGTACATCACTTGATCATAAAATAAAAGTATGGAATTTAAATTCAAGTGATATTGAAAATACTTACAAGTAAGAATAAAAAATTTTTTCTTAATAATTTTATTTTATTATTTGAAATAGTATAAAAATTAGTTTATTTATTTTAGCATTAATCAAGATGAAATATTATGTTTGACTGTTTCACATAACAATGATCATATTGTTACCGGATCAAGAGATCGTTTAGTAACAGTTTTACGTTTAGAAACAGGAGAAATTGAACATTCAATTGAACAACATACAGATGCTGTTATTTCTGTTGCATTAACTCAAGATGATGCAATTTTATTAACAGCATCAAAAGATCAAACTGTTAAAAGATGGATATTTCGTGGTATGCAAGTTTTAGAAGTCATACAAGCAATTGGTAGTCCCGTTAATCACATGGTTATATCATCAAATGATACATTTATTATTATTGGTATGTTAATATTAAAATAAAACATAAAAAAAGAAATATTTTAAAAATAGAAAATAATAAATAAATATTCATTTTCATTTATATTCATTATTTAGCTTGTGAAGATAATACAGTACAAGTGAAATCATTAGTAACATGTACACACATTCATTATCTCGAGGGACATACTAGTGAAGTAAGTTAAAAATAGACTATATTATAAATAAACGATATATATATATATATATATATATATAGAGAGAGAGAGAGAGAGAGAGAGAGAAAGAGAGAGATATTTGTATGATTTTATTTACAGGTGACAAGTTTAGCTGTTTCAAATGATTCAATATCATGTTATGTTGGTTGCAGCAATGGTCATTTATACGTGTATAATCTTTGTTCAAAAGTACTACTAAGAACATTGACACATCATGAAACAACTATTAATGATATATTTGTGTCAGCCGATGATTGTTTTTTGTTTACGGCTGGTCAGGTACAGAGAAAAAATATGTCATATTTAAGAAATAAATAATAATTATCATAAAATTTTTTAGAATTCTATCTACGTATTAAATATTAAACAACGATTGAATAATTATAAAACAAATTCGGACTCATTAAATGATGATAAACCAATAACAAGTTTAGCTATATCAAAAGAAGGAGATGTGGCTATATCTGGTAAATGATAATCTTATATTTTATTTAATCAAATTTTATACCATATTTTATTCAAGGTTGTGAACAAGGTACAGTTAAATTATGGAATTTAATCGATGGTGAACTAACTGAACACATTATTGATCATCGTAGTGCAGTGACACAAGTAGCTCTTTCACATTCCTATTTATTTTCATTATCAGCATCAAAAGATTCTAGCATTAAAGTATATGATAATGAACTTGGTGAAATCATAACAGAATTTAAAGTAAATTAAGTTTTAACATTATATTATAGAATATAAAATGTTTCTTCTTTTAGGGTCATTCAGCTCCAATAGCTAATGTTTGTATATTAGAAGATAATCGAAAAATTCTTTCATCAGATGAACAAAATTATATAAAAACCTGGTGGGCAAATACTGGTGAATTAATTGATTCCTACAATATTCCGTGTAAAATATTGGGTGTTTCACCAGATGGTCACTATGTTGTATCCGGTAGTGGTGATAATGTTTTAAAAATTTGGTCACTAGATGATGCACGTGTTGTACGTTCAATTGATCATCCACAAGGTGCTATAACGTGTATAACATTTGGATCTGATTCACAATATTTATTATCGGGTGGTGAGGATTGTAGTTGTAAATTATGGGAATTAGCGAGTGGAAAATTAACGCAAGTAAAAAATATACACAAATATACTTATTAATTATAATGAATATCAATTTTAAATTTAATTTTCTATTAATCACAGGTATTAGTTGAACATGAAAAATCAATAACAGCTATTGCTATAACTCTAGATGGCAAATCAGTATTAACTGGTGGTGCAGATGGACAAGCAATTATTTGGTCATTTAGAGATGGTGCTGTTATACATAAATTATTGGGTCATAATGATGCTATAGTATGTGTTGCATTTACAACAGATGGAACAGTAGCTGTTACAGGTAAAAATTGAAGGTGATTCTTCATTCTGTCAATTAGAGTTCTGCGGGTTTAACCCGATCCTGATTCTGAAAACGTTTTTTCGGATTTGGGTACGGGACGGATTTCAGTTCATCTGAACGGGATCGAATTTGTTTCCGATCCCGATTCTTCTAGTCTGATATAGAGGGAGATAAGAGACAATTCTAAATAAATGAAAAATAAGAAAAATGGCCAGGTGTTTCGCACTAGACATACAACTGACCAAGTGAATTTATTTTTGTACCTCTATGAGTAGGAATTTATTAATGTTAAAATGAAAGAGAGTACTATTTCACTAGAAAAGAATATTTCGGGTTTGAGTGGGTTTGACACGGATTTTATTTAAAAAAACGGGATCGAGATTCCGAAAAGTTCTGATGGGTTCGGATTCGGGACTGGTTTCAAATCTACGAGACCGGATAGGGTTCGAAAATGTCAAACCCGCAGGACTCTACTGTCAATACGCTGAAAATAGAAAGTATTTGATAAGTGTAGCACAGTCTAAAAGATAAAAGATATTTTTCTTATCAATTGATATTCTTAGTTATTAATTGCATATTTTAGCATCTCATGATGGTCTATTGTCAACATGGTCAACAGTAACGGGTACTCATTTAGCTGCATTTCATTTTAATCATATTCTGAACAAATTATTAGTATCACAAAATGGTGCAAGATATGCAGCCATTATGGAAAATAATTCATCTGTAGCAATGGTAAGTCTATTGAAAATAAAAAACAATAGAAGAATGAACGATAGTTTCAATAATAAAAATTTTTCAGATTAGTTTATTCAATGTTCCATGTAATGATTCAGCAAAATTTTTACCTCGAACAAGTGAAAGTATGAATATATTCATAAAAATGTCATTATGTATGATATTTTATCATTTTATAATGTTTATTTATTTTTAAAGTGTTTTCAGACAATTATAATCCAATAATACCAATTAAACTTAAACCGTCACTATATTCACACAATTCTTGTCTACTAACAGGCTCAAGACATAGTTCAAAAACAACAGATCAAGGCGATGTTGTATTAGTAAGTAATAAAATATAAAGTCATTATTTGTGTGAAATGAATGTAAAATTATTTTTATGTGTAGAATATTTTCTCGTTAGATAAAATTTGCTTAAAAAAACATTAATTTTCTCGTCATTTCCGTTCTAAAGACAAGCATTAACTCAGTTTGATAACATTGAAATCATGCTGAGTTATTTTAATTTTTGAATATCAATATTTTTGGCTATTGTTTTGTAAATTGTGTTTAAAAATGTGAATATTCTTCGTCGTTTATTATTATAACATAAAGCTTCAAGCTATCTATCTATCTTATATATATATATATATATATTTGTAAGTCTGTGTGTGTGCGTGTGTCTTGTCTAGTAATTAAAGTCTTTTTTCTTGTCTTTATAAAATATACCCTTGAGAATCCTAATATCTATCAGACGCCATCTTGTCGAATATTTTTTAATTTTGTCGAATATTTTGTCATCAAAGACTTTGAAGTTTAGTTAATACTAGATGAATATGCCAATTTTTCTTTCTTTTTTTTGAGTCTATCATTTGCTTTTATGTTTTTATCTTTATTGATGACATGTTTGTTTTTATTATCTAATTAATGAGTCAGAAATGATTTGTAAACATATATCGAAATTAGCCTCGAGCTAAAAACAAAACAACGCAATTGTAACTAAAAAAATGTCATTAATATAAAAACCAATGTAAATGAAAACAATGTCACTTGATATAAATAGAATACAAGATAAATATTCAACAATAAAATATGTATCGATGATAAAAGTTTAACATAAATGTGAAGAATCAAGAGAAAAGGTTTTTCTGATAAAAAAATTTTAATATAGAAAAATGTTCTAGAAATGATTGCTTGTCACACACTATTTTATGTGAAATTTATACTTAACACCTGGATGATAGAAAAATCTCATTAACAAGGAAACCTCTGGCTTCTATCGTCTTGATTAAAGTAAGAATAAAAAAGTGGAAGTATTTAAATAAAACATATTTAATAACTCTAAGATAGTTCTAAGGGGATATTGAACGAACAAAAACAAAAAAAAAAAAGAAGAAGAGTGTCGATGAATGAATCCATTTCAAAGATTACGCTACTTTACTCATTAATTTTTTATTTTTATTTTTTAAACTATATTTATTTTTCAAATTTATCAAATCGAATACACATCAAAAAGAGAGCTAATGTCTCAGAAGAAGAGAGAAAAAACTCCATTATTATTGAGGTATTCGTCAATTTCTGTTTTTGTTTTTCTTCTAAAAATAAATTAATAATGAGTTAATTTTCCATTTATTTAACTAATTATTTAGACAATATTTTATTTTTTTTTCTCTTTAAAATAATACATCTTTTAGAGTGTTAAACCGTAGTAATCTAGCCGTCAAATAATAAATATTGATGGATGATTGAAATTTTACTATTGTTTAATATATCCTAAACAAAAGACGAATGATAGACGTGTACTATGATAACAAAATCTGTATCAAATTGACCGTGATAAAAACTACTTCTACTATTTTAATAATTATAATAATGATGTTCTCTGTTCCGTTTTCTCTTCATGCGTCAACCTTGAATAATATATAGACTCATAAATCTGATGTAGAAGATGCTGATTCGTTTTTCCTTCTTCTTCTTCTTCTTCTTTTTTTATTATTATCTTTTTATTTTATTTTTTTTTTGGAAAGTGGGATGGGGGTCTTTGTTAGAACAAAAAGTACACGGGAAAAAAAAAAACTAGAGGAAAGAGAAGAAGAATAAAAATAATAATAATAATAATTTGTTGTTCATTTTCTCTTTTAAATTTTATCTCATTTGTCCGATAAAACATATTTTTATACGGATCCAATAATGGAATATGAAATATTCTTCTTCATCTTCCAATTAATTAATATTGTTGTTGTTCTGATTAAAATAATAGATCTATTATCATTAATATCATCATTAATACAATTTAATAATTGGTTATTATCATCAATTGATGGTAAAATTCAAATTATATTTGTATATCAAAAAAAAAAATATTTATCTTTATTCAATCATCATCATTGGTTCAATTATTAACATGAAAAAATGTTTATTTATTCTATTTATTTAAAAATGAATATCGAATATTTTGAATATTATCAATTATATTCTTCTATTAGAAATTTAAATTCACCAACATTATCTAAAACAAAATCAACATCATCAAATGCAATTTTATTTACAGTTCATTTTCATAAATTATATCCATGGTTTTTACTTCCATTCGGTATTATTGGATCATTATTAACAATTATTATTTTTACACGAAATAAATTTCGAAGATATGGTTGTTCTCTATTATTTGTAGCAGAAAGTGTTATGGTAAGTAAATATAAAGAAATTCTTCTTCTTCTTCTTCATCTTATTATTATTATTATTCTTTTTATTATGATTTAAAATTTGAAATAATAAAATTCTTTTCATTTTATTTTTTTTCTTCAGGATTTCATATTAATAACATTAAATTGTGTACGACTAATAATTCGGTATACATTTCAATCATATTTTTTACAACGTTCACTCTATATTTGTCGAACATATAAATTTATGACAAATTTTTGTAATCATTGTGCCGTTTGGATATTATGTGTAATATCATTGGAACGTGCTGTTGTTACTAAACGAACTAATTGGAGTAAAAAAGTATTTAGTAAAAATCATTACTATTCAATATTACTTTTTATGTTTTTCATATTATTTTGTTTAAATGGACATTATCTTCTCTTTTTTGGTATTGAACAATCTGATGATGATAATAATCTTAATGGTAATTATACAATATTAAAAAAAACGAAACTTGTTTTATGTAGTTCAAATTTAACACAGCCCACTGATAGATATAATCGTTTTTTAACACATCATTTTACGTGGATGGATTTTATTATTAATTCATTAATACCTTTCTTTATAATTCTTATTGCTAATTTAAGTGTAATGCATAGTGTTTGTATGCAACGAATATTATTAGATAAAGTGGGCTGTAGACAAACAAAATCGGCAAAAGATGCACAATTAACTTATATTCTATTTGTATCAACATTTTTATTTTTACTTATGACATTTCCAATGAGAATATTTTCAATAATTGAACCATATTTAAAATTTAATAAAGATATATTAATTTTATTAGATGGTATAATGAGATTTTTATTATATTTAGATCATGGTTGTGGATTTTATTTATATACATTTACTGGAAAATTATTTCGAAAAGAATTGAGAAAAATTTTATTAATGTTTTTATTTGGTAGAAGACGTTATAATTGGTCAGTTCAAGAATCAAAAAGACATGGTGAATTGGGTTATTCAAATGGTAGTAGTTGGCAACAACATGTTCCACAAACTCAACAACATCTTAATAATTCTATTAGTAGTGGTGGTTGTAAATCATCTCTTTCTTTAACAATGTATAATGATTCAAAAATACCTCCTTATCATTGTAAACATTATTCAAGAAGTGGTAAAACACAAAAATATACATCAGATAGATCACTTGGTCCCTATGGAATGAAACGACAAGATTTTAATATCGATCGTAAAGGTGGTCTTGTTAAAAGACACAGTTCATCGTGTTTAGAAGAAACATATCAAAGAACAAATGATGAAATAACAATGAATGATGATGAAAATAATGCGCTTAATATGGATCGAAAAAGTGATATTTTATAAATTTGAGTCTTGTTGTTTTTTTTAAAACGTTTTTTGATATTTGAGTGCAAGGCACAGATGTTTTATATATATATATATATATGTGTGTGGTGTGTGGTGTGTGTGTGTGTTGCATAATTGTTGTCATCACAAATATTTTATCGATATCATATTATGGATATCTAGCACTTTCTATTCACTTTCCTATTAAGGACGATGTTAAGTCTAAAGAAAAAAAAAAAAATTGTTTGCCAAAATGATGAAATAATTAATTATTACTGTTAAAATTTCATAATCTTATGTTTATTTTTTAGCCTGATCCCATGTCAAAATCACATAGTCGTGAATTTTTTAAAAAGAATAAACGTGATCGTAGTAAGAAGAATGGAAATAATATAAAAACAAATAACAATAATCATCATTTAAATAATCGAGAACATGGTTCACATAATGCGAGTACGGTGGGCACTGATGGTGATACGGATACTGGTCATACAAAAGAGAAAAAAACAAAAATTTGTTGCCTTTTGTAACAAAATGTAACAATTAGTTGTTTTATATCGTTATTGTTGTTCTAGTTTCATTTTTTTTTTCTTATTTTTCTCTTCTTTTGTTGCTATTGTTCAATTGCTTTGATAGCTCTACGTTTCATTTATTTTTCAAATAACATAAGAGTAAAATACAATTTGACAAAATGAAGAACTGTATGATAATATTAAAAGTATGCTCATAGTCTATTTCTGAAGATGTAATAATAAGTGGAAAACAAATTGAATCTCTATTTATGTCAAAATTCAAGTCTTCTATGTTATGCTAGAATGACTCTTAAGCATTGGAGATATATATATATCTATATATAACAGGCGCGGCAGAATAAATGATAGTCTCAATATTTCACTCAGTTCTCATTCTTTTGGATTAAATGTTTTTTTAAAGATTGAGTGTTCAGTTCTCTAGAATGAATGTTATTTATGTAAAAGTAAAAAGGTTATTAAAGAAATACTGAAAATATGAAATATCAACAACTTTCTAGCACAAATATGTAAACTAATTTTCGATTTCTTTCCACTAGTAAAATACTTACTTAAAAGCTTCAAAACATCATTTCTAATGCGCTCTTTTTAACGATATGCAGGAGAACGGTTCAGTTTTTAGAATGTCGATAGAGAACCGAATTTTTGTAAAAAAAAAAACGTCAGAAATTTATTATATTTAATCCTTGTATTTGAACATGGTGAATAGAAAAAAAAGCATTTGTTCGAAACGAAGGTCCACATTTATAGTATGAATCATCAGTTTTCAAATTAAAAATCGTAATTGGAAAGCGTAAGTTTTGACTGAGTTATATGGGTTTTCCGACAACAGAGAAAACAACGTTTTAAAAACATGAAAAAAGTAAAGTTTATTTTCTGCATTAGGATTTTATTTTTAAATTTTTTGAATACCATAGAAAGATAGATCTCACGCTCACCAAAATGCCCCATTTGATTTTTTTGTATCTCAACACGAGAAAAAACTGAATTTTCAGTTCAATAACCTGTTTACTTTTATATGAATAACATTCATTTTAGAAAACTGAACGCCGCTGAATCTTTAAAAAAAAAAATTTAATACGAAAGAATGAGAACTGAGTGAGATATTGCGAAAATATTGAGAGTACAATTTATTCTACCGCATCCTTTATATATATGTATTGAGCAGAACGATATTATTAAGATACGTTTAAACAAGAATAAATTTAATATTGATTGAATTTAGAATGAAACATTTTCATTTTCCCAATGGAAGTCATATGGCAAATATTTTTAGCATTAAACTGATGATAGAGGCCTCGAATATGAGTTACGCACATGGTCTATTAATATTTAATATGGTGTGTCACAATGATATTAAAACACTATAATTTATTAAGCATTTAGACTTCAAATTGAAGAAAAAAAAAGATTCTTGTTATTAATTAATGAATAAACACATGAACATTATCAGTTGAAAAGTTGTTGACCTATCTGCTCTCATAAATTTAATTATTTAACAACAACTTTTAGAATATAGTTTAAGTTTTTTATTCAATGGATGTACTGTGAACTTTTAATCTCGACAATTTTTTAACTCAAACACAATAAAAAAATATTATTTTGATCAGAGTCGCATACAATAAAATAGAATCAAAATATATATTCCAGTGCTTGGAAGTGTCGTATCTTTTTCCAGTTCGTGTTAAATGTATTCTGCGACACAAAAAACGATTCTGTTAAAATTCATCATAAAAAGGTAGGAATATGACTTTTTCGCCTTAGCACAGAAGAGCTATTGAACTTTCTCTGTTTGGATGCAATAGAAGAATTATTCTGCTTTAAGATAAAACAAATTCGATCTTAAAATGTGTTAATTTTCGTCGAATTATAAAAAAATTTCTCACTGCTTCAAAACTACAGGTTGAAAATGATGATTTTTGATAATAGTACAAACCAAAACATGGATTACTTTAGGATCTTCGTTATCACTAGTAGTTGCCGATATTTCCATTGAAAACTTCACAGTTGTTCAGACAAAACCTTGTTTTCTTGTCTCTTTTACAGTAAAAAGCTCATGCTTCTCTCAAAATCAAATCACATCACTTAAAATCCGCAATAAATTTAATAAACAATTTAATAATAAAATGTGTTTACAATAGTCAGGTCACACTAGAATCGTATTTTGATTGGAAGAGTTTAATATCTTTTGTTTGTATCGTATCTAACATTTTATCAGACAACTTTTTTGATAAATACCTACGGATATATATCAGATAGTACCTATTAGCAGTATTTTGACTGTGATTTTTCCATCAGTCGGCTAGGACAGATCTCAGCTGGATAATGTTCTATAAAAGTCTCATAACTCAGAAAGAAAGTTTTTCACCAGTAAAAGTTTATCTACCTAGACGTCCTATCTTCTGCTTTTTAGATACAAGGAACGTCCTTGAATTAATATTTTTACAATGCATTCAAGAAAACTAATCAAATGGTGACACAAAAGAATTTATAGCTGGAAAAGCTTCTAAGATAAAATATGAAAGAATACTAATAAAACGAACTGATGATCTTCGTTTTATCACAGAAATAAGCTTAGAATGACGCAAATGCAGCCTTCTATTATGGAAGATTCATTACAGGATAAATTTTAATTAAACAATTCCATTTTGCGAATTCGGCTACTTTCTCTATATTCATATCCTTTTGTACTGGAAACGGAGGCGACATTCTTCTGTGCTCTGATGCAGTTACTTTATTTTACTTGAAGAAAAATGAATAAAAAAAACAACAAAATAAAACTCTTTTTACCTAGGTGTGCCTTTAAAAAACAACAAAAAAAAATAAAGACCTATTAGTAAATAAACAACGTAAACAAAGAGGAAAAATTATTCTTTTTTAAACTTGTACAAAAAACTTGAGTCGTCGAAAAAACGTTAGTAACGTATCGAATGTCATAAACGAAACGCCAACAGAAATTGGTCCCTTGAGCCAATTCATTGAGACACCTTTATATAGTCCTCGTGTAATACCTTCTTCTCGGATAATTTTTAATGCTGTCTGCATGGCAGTCAAATGTTGGTCATCTGGTCTAATGACGGCAGCTGTTTGAAGACGCCTTCGAACAACATCAAATGGATATGAGGCAGTTTGTCCAATAAGACCGGCGATTGCACCAAATAACATTCGCTCAGGCTTACTAATATCACGATTAGGTGTACGATCTAAATGAAGATAAATGATTATATCTTTTCAATCAACATCGGATACCACACAAAAGGAGAGAAAAAAAAGCAAAAAATAAAAGTAAATGATAATCTTCTAAGCCTATTTTTATTTTTTAAGCAATCATACGAAGCATTAGAGAAGAGTAGAAGACTGCTTTTTCATCAACATTTTGACTTTTTTTCAAAAACAGAAGAATAAAATCAAAACTCTATCTGGTGTGTTTACTAGAACAAATGTGGACAAACGCTTGTTTTTTCTCTAATATATTGAGAAACAAAACCCTCAGTTGACAAAACATTCCCATTCTTTTAATTTAAATCCATCTGATACTCAGACGAAAGCATAAAGAGTATGCTTTTTTACAACAATATAATTACCTTGACGAAAAGCTTTTAGCGTTTCAAACGTGTAAAACACACAACCAGAATAGGGTAGTACGCCAACAATCGAGGGTAATGCGCCTCGATATAAAGCAAAAACACTTTCTGTTCGTAATATTAATATAAAAACTTGAAATAAATTGCTGTAACTACAAACGAAACAAAAAAAAAAGAAAAATTATTGAAATTGAGAAGATAAAAGACCTGCGAGATGGATCATAGATTAGCTTATTACCATGCATAACACAATTGTTCAATAATTTTTCTTTCTTTTTAATTGTTATAATGATTACCTTTTGAAAAACGTTTTAAACTTTCATATGTAAAATAAGCGCAACCGTAATACGGTATTGAACCAATAATAGAAAGTATTACGCCATGGTAAAAGCCAATTATGCCCTCTGATCGTAGAGTAATAGCAAACATTTGAATCAGATTATGATACCTGAAAAAATATAATTTTAGAAGGACTATCATTTTATTAAAAAACTTTTTTTAAACAGAAATATCCGATTAAAAGAATTGAAATGCCTCTTCAAATTTCTTACACGTCTCTACTCTCTACGATCTACTACATAAAACAAATGGAGATATTAACTTACACAGCTTTTTTTGTTACGGCCATTCTAGCACGAGCTAAATCTAATGGATAAGTTATTGTGGCGGATGTTACGCCGGCCAATGATCCAGCAATAAAACGTCGTCCTGGTGTTGGTCTATAAAAATAAATATCAAAAGTATCAGAAAGTAAGTTTATTGAAGAACAAAAATAAATAACCGCTTACCGATCTTTATCTGTTCCCAATACTCTTTTCCACTGTTCATGTGCAGCAAAATTGAGTGCGGCTGATGGCATAACACGCACCATATTGGCTGAATTTCCGCGATACCAGCTACGAAAACCATCATTTTTATATGAATCCTTTAGAAATCGAAAACATTTTTGATAACTAAATCTTGTGGCAGAAACTGAAAATAAAAGCACTTTTTTCATGATGTTCGACATTTTATGATGCATATCGAAAACATAATGGCACGATTTGAATTAGGCCATCTTTCTCATCATGAAAAATTTTGTTTTAAAAAAAATTGTTTAAACACTACAACTAAAGATCAGGAATAATTAGATAGGCATGTATGTATAGATCGTAGACCACAGCCCACACAACTCGATAGATTTGTACAAAGAATTCTTTTACTACCTTTGCCAAATTGACAGACAGAAACAAAAACACTCTCTAAAATTTACGTAGTAGCTATTCACTATTCATTCTATCTTGTCACAAAATACATGTACCACTGTAAGCTAATTTCATCATGATAACGCCTGCAGTGTCGTTTATCAAGAGTAACAAAGAAAACGAATTGCTGGTTCTCGATTTATACAGATTTTGAACACCAACAACTAAATACTGATCATGTGAAGAACGTGGTTGTTCAGCGAATGTGCATACAGATTCAAATGGCATGTTCGCAAAAATCCAGAGATAATCATTAGCATTTACTAAGTCCAGAGGATATTGAAATTCGACATTTCAAACAAAAGTGAAGACACGTACTGCCGATGAAACTACTTTCCTGCTTTATTTACAAGGTTTGTTTTCTATCTGATTTGTTCAAGAATGTTACTTCTAAGGCACTTTATTATGCAAAGAAACAGAACGGTAAAAGGTTTCACACAAATAAAATGACCGTATGCAAAAAAGATTTCCAGATCTATCGGCAGAATTATGAGCAAAAATATTTTGGAGATACGAGTCCGCTTTTAAAACTCATAGCATATCGACGGTTTATTTTTTTTTCTCCGTTCACCATCATATCATATGTGTATACATAGTATGAGTATCCAACGGTATGTGTTTTGAGTCTAGGAAATCGTTCTATCAAAAGTTATTTCAAAAATAAAATTTTTGGTACTTAGGGGAAAGATAATGTTTTCTAGCTTTCGCTTCTAACTGAATAAGAATATTTCATTTACCGATCGATTCAGCAAGACTTACTCTATCTTTATATATGCTTAGTGTATTATGTGCACATAAACCGCGAGACTTTTATGCAATAAAATATCATATTTGGAATCAGGATCAAAAACTGAGTCGACTGATGTGCATTTCTATCCTATCCGACAACTTTAATTTTTTTCGAATTTTCACGAAAAAATGAAAATGAACTAAAACTTTCGAAATACACATCAGTCGACTCAGTTTTTTGGTCCTGATTCCGAATATGATATTTTATTACAAACAATTTGAGTTCTTATAGAGAAAATTGAGAATTATGAGCAGAATTCTGACTTTTTCGTCCGCATATCGAAAGTAGTACAGAAATTTTTTTTGTTTCTATGTTTAAAAATAATCCAATTAATACAAAATGTAGAGGAAGACAAACTCTAGAAACGTGACCACTTTAAAAGTTTTTTCATTTATCGTCGAAAAAAAAATTGCAGATGACGAGCAGAACTAGCGGTATTTAGGGTTAAGTAATCTTAGAGCCAAAACCATAGCTTCCCAACGATCATCAAATCGATTTTCTGAATCAGTTTTATTCATAGATTACCAATATAATCTTAGTTCTGCAAAAAAAAAAAAATGTTTCCAAGTCGAAAAACTGGATTTTACGTAAAAGTGAGGCAATTTTTACCTTTCATACCAGATAATAAAAAAGTCAAAACTTTGTTAGGAGAAAATATTTGTCTCTCATATTCATAGCATTTGCAGCTCAAAATGTCATGGTGTTTTCCTGGGGGTTGGCCTTGTGGGAAGGTTTCTGAGCTGAGCTATATCAATTTTATTATAAAGTTATCGATGATACAGAAAAAAAAATTTTCTACTTTTTCAAATTTCTCTCTCGCGGTTTATGTGCACATAATACACTAAGCATATATAAAGATAGAGTAAGTCTTGCTGAATCGATCGATAAATGAAATACTCTTATTCAGTTAGAAGAGAAAGCTAGAAAACATTATCTTTCCCCTAAGTACCAAAAATTTTATTTTTGAAATAACTTTTGATAGAACGATTTCCTAGACTCAAAACACATACCGTTGGATACTCATACTATGTATACACATATGATATGATGGTGAATGGAGGAAAAAAAATAAACCGGCGGTATCCTCTCTGTTGTTCTTACTGTCCGACATTCTGCATTTCTGACATTTTACATTTTCAACATTTTGCACTTTCGTCATTTCTGTTTTCTACATTTCAGGTTTTCAGCATTCTTATATTCGATCTTATACATTCTGTGTTCTTACTTTAGGTGTTTTGAGTTTTCAAGATTCGGCCCTACATTCATTAGACAACGTACCTTGAAAATTAATTTTCGCACGATCTAATGGTGCAATGGTTGTTTTAGCAACAGCTCCTAGAAGTAAAAGTTATCAAATAGAGATTGTTAACTCTAATTACAAAATAGTTTTCTACCTGCACAAGCACCAGCTATGAGTGAAGTAACAATTTTTTGCGTATTTGTAAGCTAAAAAAGAAAAAGTGAGTATTTTTCTTGTCTGGAATAGAATTTATTTTAACTGTTGAACTAACCGACTCATTTTTTTCTTTAATATTTTTCATCTGTAACACTTATCACAATTTTCATTCTTAATCAAGACAATGATCGTTATATAACAGAATGCAAATTAATTTTTTTAAACAAAACATAAAATCTAAAAGATAAAAATATTCTATGCAACAATATGTTACTTAAGGAAGGCAACGATATATTTCTTTTAATAAAATGAATAAAAAATGACTGCGTATTCAAAAATTCTTTGATTACTTTTATTTGTTCAAAGTTTAACATCTGTATTACTAATTTTAATTCTATATAATTTTCTTTTCAAGCAAAACTATAGAGAATGAAAATAAAAAGAATTTGAAAAATTAATGATAACATAAATCAGGACGCAAGAATAACAAAAAGAAAAATACTCTATTAAGAAGGTAAAAACGAAAACAAGTTTTCTATACTTGTCAAAGATATAGAATCCAAAGGCCACTAGATAAAAAACATTCACAGATGGACTCTATTTTGATGCTAAAGGGTAAATTAGCATTAAAGTTCAGTAAGTAGAGAAAAAATGCTAAACTTTACTTGTATATAGGAGACCAATTTAAAGGCGAGAGATAAACAAGACAATAAGAATTTATTTTTAAAAACAGGATATCAACTATACGAAAATACGAATCATTTTTTATTATTTCAAATAAATATTGTATTCGATTTGATTCAAGCACCGTGCATTCTACAATCTCGAAAACGTTCTTCATAATCAGATTGTTAGATAGAACTTATTCTATTAAGAGAAAATCAAAGAAGAAAAAGTAACAGGACAAATGATTTCCTCATAAATGTAAATTATTTTAATATTCTTGTTCTTATATGAATCAAATTGTACAATAGTACATCAAAAGAAGAATCCTAACTATTCTAACACTAAATTTAATATCTACTGAATTTGTACTAAAATATTGGGATGTTTATAAATGCTACTTGAATAATTTATTTTAAAAAACAAAAATTAAAAACTTTCCAAGATATTTTTTGTAAAAAATATACACTAAAACACACACACTCAAAAAATGTTTTTAAAAAAGTACAAAAACAATTTCATATATTTTTTCACAGTGGCAAAAAAGCAACGAAATTAATTTATCTTGGCTTCTAAAAAAAAAAGAAAGGCATCATTTAGAAATGGTATGTGTCTTATCTTACACACAAATTAAAAACGTAAACAAAAACAAACAAAAACTGAATATAAATATGACTATAGATGTGTTGATTATAAATGCAGTTAAACTACTTTTATAAAATGAGATCAGATCTGTCGAAAAGAAGAAAAAAAAAGATAAAAAAAAACGGAAAAAATATCTGTGTATAAGAAAAACGTAAAATAGATATCAGAGATAGATATAGAGATTGTCAGACTAATGATTAAAAAACGATTGTGTAACATGCAACAACAGCAAAAAACAAAAAAAAAAAGAGCAAAGAGCTAACGCACAAATACCCACACTAAATTTAACTACGAAAAAGTGATACAAAAAACAAAAACAAAAAATAATAACATATTTCTAGCTCGTATTAATTATCAAAAGAGATTAAATATCTGTGAAATATATTCTGTTTTTAAATATAAAAAGAAAATTTCTAAAATGTGATAATTACATGTAAGCAGATGTTAAACGATGAAATAATGTTTCTTGTTGTAATGGATCATTAGTACCAATTTTATCTTTTGAACGCATTGATAAAAATATATAAGCACCAATAAATTCATGTATACATTTACTATCAATATTATACAATGGTAATAATGTTATTGTCTCATTTTCAAATTCAATTGTTAATTGTTTATTTTGCCAATTAACATTCCATGATTTCATTGTATTATAACGCCATGTTTTAAGTGCATCACCATTTATTGATAATTTAATTAGACGATTCGAAGCAATACCAAGAATTTCCTAAAATATAGTAATAGTTAGTTCAATAATTCAAAAAACAAATATTAATATAATATTTACCTCTCGTTTAGATGAATCTTTAAATTTGACAACAAATGGTTGTATATCATATTCAGGTAAAGATTGCCATGCTTTAATATATTGTAATTTTGCTTCATTCATACTCAAATTGCTTACATTAGCATGTGCCTCCAATATTCGTTCAATTATCTAAATAATAACCGTATCATGTATGTTCTTTTCTTTTATGATGTAATATTATTACGATTAATTAGGTAATAATTTCAAAATAAAAAACACGGTAAAAGCAGCATTTTTTAACCTCATTTAATAATACTTAATTTCATAATGAAGTTAAAAAATGCTGCTGTTATCGTGTTTTTTTATTTGATGATGTAAATTAACAAATTAATGATTTTTTAAACATAGAGTACCACCAATATTCTTCTTTTCAAACGTATAGTAGAAAATTGTTTAGTTAATTTCATCTATGAAAGTTCGAAATTCATTTATCATTAATTTAACACAATAGGAAAAAGGACTTTAAACTCTTGATTTAATTCACCAGTTATATGCAAAACGTTGTTAAATTCATGATAAAACCTAATATTAAGTAATAATCACACACTCTTTATTTATAACAGCTGAAACTATTTTCTTCTTTCTAAGTTTTACATTCTTAGGTTGCCTCTGCTAGTCTAATGCAAAAAGTGTTTGTACATCAGAAAAAATGATTATGTTGCAAATTTCTTTAAAAAATAATTGTCAGAATTATCTGACATATAAAACAATGAATTTGAAGTTTAATTTCACAGTAATACGAGAGAAAATCTCATAGAAAATGATTTTTGAAAATTGGACGAATAGAATACTTGCGTCAACAACAAAATACTTTTTTTTTCAGACAGATCACACTTAGGCATGTACCAATACCAATCGTTATTGGAGATATTGTACAATACTATTGGGTATCCAATAATATTCGGATCCAATAATATTCGGATCCAATAATATTAGTCACCCAATCTATTGGAACCAATAATATTGGTCATCCAATCTGTTAGAACCAATAATATTGGTCACACAATCTATTGGAACCAATAATATTGGTCACTCAGTATATTGGGACCAATAATATTGGATTCCGCAGTACACTGGATTCCAACCTTTTAATCTTAATATCACTTACATTCATAAAAACGTGGGGAAGC